CAAATAAGGTCACATTCTAAGGTTCTGGATAGACATGAATTTTGGGGGGGTCCTTATTCAATCTACTACAGGTTATCACCCAATATGTTTCTCAAACAGAAAGGTAGTGTCATCCTTAACCCTACCTCTTCCTCATTCTCTACACCTACATAATTATCATATCCTGGTTCTTCTTTAATTGAAGATTATCTCCTTTTTTTCATCCTCATTACCATTTTCACTTCAATAACTGTCTACCTAGCAAATTCCTTGCTACAGCACTGGATGGAATCAATTATTATTCTCATTACTATGCCTGTTACTAAACAAGTAAAGTATTGCTGGAGAAAGTCACACAACAGGGCAGACAAGTTGTACTGTGAATTTACAACTAACTCCAATAGACCTTCAATTTGCCTGGGTCCTTCTATTTCTCTGGCCAACTGACTCTCCCACTTTTCCATGACTATTTCAGATCTTTTTCACTCTCTTCAAGTTCTTACTTTCACCCACTTTCAGCAATTGCCCTAGGCTTTTTTACAGAGACTAAAGATGCCATCCCACAAAAACTCCCTCAACCTCCCACCTTCTGCTCTCACCATCACTGCTTTCCCTCTTAGTATAATGGCTATTCTTTCAATGTAAGGCCATTCTCTCTACATGTATTTTGGATCTCATCTTCATTCAGAAAATCTATTAACACTAATTATCCCTCTCTTTCTCTAAAATATTCAGCTTTTCCCTCAACTAGAGCTTTCCTATGGGCTTATACACATGTTTAAGTTTATTTTTCATTTAAAAATAAGATGAAAACAATACTTCCCTTGAACCCACACTCCCCCTTCCAGTTATCTATCCAGCCACACTCCCACTCTTTCTGCCTGTTTTTCTCTCCATTTCCTCCTCCCTGTACCTGACATAAATGTGCATTTTTGGAGAGATTGGTTTCTCTAGCTCCGTAGCCTCCAGCCCTTTATTAATCCTGAGTAAAACAAGCCTTTTTATAAAACCTACCCCACAGGCCTTTGTGAGAATTAGATAACTCGAATAGGAAAAAGCCTGGCCCATGGTAGTTAATCAGTAAGGTTATATAGTTATTGCTAATAAAATCTCATATCCATCTATCCAACTGACAACACAGGCATCCTGAATTCCCTCATCCCTCTATCCCAATCCATCTCTAGATTTTATTTTTACCTCTCAAATCTCTCATGTTCTGAACGCTTTTTTCCATCTCCCCTATCCTACTCTGCACTATCAGCATCTCACATGGATAAGAATAAAAACCTAACTGATCTTGCATCCTTTCTTGTCACTCTCCCAAAGCCCCTCCTTAACCTAGCCAGAATGAGCTGTTGTAACCTCCTATCTGAGGTTACTATCTAGTTTAAAACATTTTCCAGTATTATGATAAAGCCTCCAAATCTACTACATGCCTATCAAATTATGTAGATACCATTCCTACCCATCTGCTCAAACTTATCTTGCATCTCACTTCTTTTGTCCTCTGCTCTTATAACACATAACACTTTTTCAGTTATTCAAATGTATTATGCACTTGCCTGTTCCTGTTATCTTTATTGTGATGGTGAGTGATATTCCTATTTCTCTTGGCCTAATTTATTCCCACTCATCCTTTATGTCTTAACTCAACGGTCACTTCCTCAGGGAAGTCCTCTTTGATTTCCCAGAATAGACTCTCATCACTCTATATATCTTTCATAGCACTCATTGAAGCTGGAATTTCACATTTGTGGGATAATTACCCTGACAAATTCCTCCAATAAAATCCAAGCTCCATAAGAGCAACAACTGTTCTCATTTTTGCTCCTCTTTTGTATCCCAAGTGCCCCATACAGCATCTGGCACATAATTAGTGCTCAGTAAATATATGCTGGTATTTAGTTTCAAGTTCAATGCTGCAGCATAGCCTCAATGCTTGTTTAAAGACAGGACAGTTTTAAAGCAGTAAAAGGTTGGACATCATTAGTGCATTATCAACATGGCCCTAGACCACAACTGAAAGTTTTCCCAATGATGTCTGTGAACAGTAGATCATTTAAAAAAGAGATACTGGTTTAGAAGTTGCTGAGGGAATGGAGCATGTGACAGAGGATGTACTGTTTTGCTGTTTTCTAAAGAAGGAGTAAAGGGGCAGAAAACTGTATTTCAAGAGAGGTGAATTCTTCTCAAGGATTGGTTCTCAACCTCTGTTCTACCCCAACATACCTTCTACTACCACTACTGCTATTACTACTACTAACACCCCAGTCAGTACCTGCAGCTCCAGAACAGCCGTCACCAAGTGGCTCACCACAGCAGGAATTTTCAAGCAGGTGGGAAGTATAAGAGAGAAGTGAGTATAATCTGAAATGGCATGACTTCAAAATACTCTGACCTCCCCTTCCCCTTATGATAGACTGCTCCCCAAATGTAACTTGTGCCAAGAAGCAGTCACAGAGCTATCACATGTTTAATTTTAGGATGTAACCAATGATTTTTTTTTTTGCAGCAAAATTGTTTCCCTAATTACTACATTAATACTAAACACGATATTGTTAACTAAAGACACAAAGACTGGGTAGAACGAGCAATCTGTAAGGATACTCCAGATCAATTTAAATTTGTTACCTATACTGGAGGTCATCTGTGTCTTGATTATAAAAATATTTTATTATAGCAATATGGTTTAAGGTACTAATTTCTAAAACCACTTAACTCTGATGCACATTTATTGTATCAAACCATAAGTGGCCTAAAATGTTATGTCTTAATGGCCATAACCTTAAAACAACATAACTAATTTATCCACTTACTAAGAAATAAAATAGGGCAAGAAAGCATGGAAAATCTTTTCAAAGATTTCAAGATCTCAGAAGACTGATATAGTTTATGAAGCAACTTCTGAAGTTGCAGAGCAGTTGAAAAGCACTACTGACAAGAAATCTCTCTCCTCAGCAATACACAACTGATTCCATGAAAACTCTACAGACAGATAAACCAACTGTAAGGGAGAAAAAGAAAAATAGCGCTTAGTCTGTCTCCTCTCCATTTTCTAAGACCTTTAAATCAAGGTTTTCAAGCATGTTGAAAAAGCATGCTCACAATATGATAAGCTAGCATATCTTATTTTGAGAAATAACACTACATCCTAAGCCAGAATATGGAGTCAGAATATGTAAATTATAATTTCTGAAAAAAAAAGTATGCATAATTTATTATAGCTCTGAATACTCTTCTAAAATACTTAAAAGATGAAAAAAACTGACCATCACCTTGTACTCAAAGATCCTTTCTCTAAAATTAATTTCATATCTGACATCAAAATTTCATTGTTTAAAGTTTCATTGTTTTAAGTCATTTAAAAAATGAATTAGATATTCTTTCATTCTTTTAAAATATAGTTTTGGTTGTACATGATAGGACAGTTCTCATGTGGCAAAAGCTACTCTTGCACTGTTAAAGTGGTATTACTAAAAACCATCAAATGCAATTTTGCTACCGAAAAAATAATTATCTTCTAGAAATTACCACTAACCAAGAAACTAAGACATTTTCATATACCCAGAATACGAAGTGATTAGCTTCGTCTAAGTAATTTCATTCCAGCCTCTTCAAAAAGTATGGAAGAAATTAACAGTCCTTTCAGTGGAGAAGGTTTGCTAGTCAAAGACAAATTACACAACCTTTTTCATGGCTGACAAGAGGGAACACTAACTGCTAACTAAGCAAGGAGAGGATGCACACCTGATATTCATACTGCTTTAGATCCAATGGGCACTCTCAATCATTACAACTGATAGCAGAGATGATTTCTTAAGGAACAATGCTCAAAGAGATTTGCGTATCACTAGTTACCATATTTTAATCTCCTTTGAAATGAAAAGACCCATTCTCTAAATTATCTAGTTAGAAAATGTTCTTTATGTAACAATGTTAATCTACCGTGATTTCTAAATAGTGTACTACAGGCTTATTTAAATTTCTGAATAATGTGGTAGATTTTTCGTTGTTTTTGGAGCCACTACCACTCCACCCACATTCACAACCAAGATTAGGGATTAAAGCAAATGATCATTCTTCACATATCCTCAAAAATAAATTCAGACTTCGTAAATGTAGTAAAGTACAAACAAAACCTCAACGTGAGCAGTTACTCGGGTAATTGTAGAGAGCTCTGGAGGTATCTGCCTGTAAGTTAAGGACCAACTGTAAACCGAGGACATAGATACTATTATTGTTTATCCCACTAAATTTTCCTTGGAGCTTTGATCAAATTCCCCCAAATAGTTCATGCATGTAGGGAATAGCATGTCTTTCTGCTACAACAGACAGTGATCTGAG